TGCACTTCATTGGGGAGTTAGGTCATTCCTATGTGTAGTATGATTTGCAAAGTACTTTGTAATAAGAGTCAAAAAGATAATGAGAGATAAAAATAAGTATATTTTCTGTCAGGCCATTGTATTATTACCTCTCACTGTTAGAGAGTGTCTACATGCACACACACTATATAAAGGTCTATGTGCATTGTCAATGGTGTATTCTGCATGCGGTTTCCATTCTGTTGCCTTCAGTGTTCTTGGAATCAATTGAAGCTGAAACATCCTGGAAGAAAAGTTCAATTTTTGCACACCCTGGTTTCAATTATTTTTAAATCTGACTCACAAACATGGCTTTTAAAGATATGTGACTGAAGTGCCAAATAAGGATCTTTTGATTTTTTTGAAATACATGTGGTTGAAATCTGAGACCCGCTTGCTGCCAAGCCACAGTATTTGGAATAGAGTATTGGCACAGGAAAATAAGCCATTGTTCAGAGTATAATTTTAAGAGGGACTATCCTACATAAAGGAAAAAGTAAATTCTCATACTTTAGCTCATGGTTATGGGACAATCCCTTAATCCTTTGTTAAACACTTAAAGTTGAAATACAGACTCTAGTGCTGTTTATTCAAGATCTCAAAGATAATCTCATGATATAAACTACATTAGACCCTACTTCAATTTTTCTCTTTCAAAAGAAAGGATCAAAACTATATGAAATCACAACAAAGTAGTGGAATTGGCCATCATATTAATACTTCTAGACTTGTGCTACATATGTTAATGTTTCCTAATTTTGCATCTAGTTGTTTCCAAACCTTGTCCATTAGCTTCAGTTGAAGCAATACTAGGCTCATGGGGAAATGAAAACACCTTGTAGGAAAATACAGTGTCATTAGCTAATATTTTCACAGTACCACCACCCGGTGTCAATTCATGAAGTTTATTGTGAGTGAAAGTAAGATGTAAAATACTTGTATTAATGGTTGTACAAAAATGAATTCAATTGCAAAAACTATTTGTGGGACCATTAATGAACAAAAATGAAGAGACTAAAAAAGTGTGAAGTATAAAAATATGGGGAGAAATTGGCTATTTAAAATGCATGGGCACAAGATTAGAAGAAAAACAAGTGTGCACCATACACATTCATATGAAAGAAAATATAATCAAAATTGAAAGGTTAAACCTAAGGAAAAGAGAGAGCTACAGCCTTGAAGATGGACAATTTGTGATGGTTTATTTCTAATCCTTAATAAAAATTAAATGTGAAGGGCAGCTGTGAGAGCATGAGACAAAAACCAAACCATCTTGAAGCAAATTGGCAATATAGTGCCAGACAGTTTGTACTTGTGCAGTTATTCTAATGCCAGAACTAAGATACCAGTTGATTAAAAAAACATTTCCTATTTCCTAGTTCCTTTCAAATTTAGTCAAAAGTCTCTCTCAGTTCTTAATTCTAGTAAAGAATTTGTCACCGGCTTACAGCAATCCCTGCTGAAATTAGAGGTGGACCAATCCACCAAATTTGGAAATGAGTTCATGTACAAACTTCAACTCCCTCAGACTTGGAGAGTGTTGGTTCAGGTTTTGGGTCAGTCTTTTTAGTAACTATCTTATTCAGTTTTTCTCACGTTGTTAATTTCTGACAGTTGTTAATGATCAATGCAACAAACTGGTGGTGTTAGTCAACAAACACAAAACCAAACACATTTAGCATTAGTTGGAGGCCTTAAGGGGAGTCCTAGCAAAGCATCCAAGAAGTGAATGGGACCAAATATCCTTTCACCTCACAGATCAAATGCTGCTTCAGTTGTGTCAAGTTGCCCTGTCTAAGACTGCTGTTCCTGAAGTCTCAGTCTTACTGTGTATCTTCAGGCTCTGCTTCAGCTCTACAGTAGCACTGAGAACATATTCTCTTGCATGTTCCTTGATTAATAGCATCTTAGCAAAAATAATTCCATATACTGTACAGAAAGTTCCAGTCAACTAAGCAGCTAGACATAAGCTATTTGAAATGTTTCCTAATAAATTAGGAAAACCAGCAGTTCATCTGAGAAGGAAAAAAATATTCTCTGTGGTAAAGGTTAGATGCCAAATTCTGCCCTTGTATACATATGTATGGCTTTGGATACATATGCATGGCTTTCATTGAAATCACATAGCTTTTGCCTATGGACATCTGAGGGCAGAATTTGGCCTGAACTATGAATTGCCCAGTTCGGCAAATACACTCATGTGAATTGTCTCAATGAAGACCATGTGCATTGTGTTAAAAACTCAGTGGACAAATCTTTAAACTGCATGCACGCAACCTAGGCATACAAATATCGTGAAGCGTGGCACATGCACATTAATGTATATCCCCAAACTCCAAACATGTACAAATATAGGGGCACTTGTGCATGTTCACTTTTGAAAATCTGGCCCACATTTGCAAAGTATGTTTATTGCACATTGTGATCAGGCTATAGGTAGTTAGTTTAGAGAATGTATTGTAGAGTAGGTCCACCCTGTGTCATGTTGTGGGGGAATGAAAGTATAGCTTGCTCTGCTTAAGTGGCCTAGTCTCCCAAGTCACCACAACCACCTTAGCTTCTAGGGCAGTAAGACCTGATGGTTGAAGTCTGTGCAGCAGTTCTTTAGAGTTGAGCAGCATAACCTGAGTCACTAGGACTCTCCTTCTAAATAGGGCAGTGCAGTCTACTGGCCAGAGTCAACAGGACTGCCCCTTGTTGCAGGGCAGTGCAACCCAGTGACCAGGGACAATAAGATTGCCCCTCACAGCAGGACAGTTCTGTACAGCCTAGTGGCCATGGAGGGTCAGAGGACCCAGCCCCCTTGCCACACCCACTTCATGAGTCTCAGCTCTGGGCCCTGTTTGCAGTGGGGGATTCATCATTGACTCTGCAGGAATCCCTCTGAAACACACTGATTCAAATCCCGGTTCAACAACTGGATCAATGTTTCGTTTCCTGGATTACTTTCTACCCATCCACAAATGGTTTATAGTCTCGGGGCTTCCACAGTCTCTTCTCTGTCTGTGGTGTCAGTTGGCTGGGTTCAGTTGGTGCTAAAGCCCAGAAGGTCAATATAGCCTGGAGTGCCAGCAGTCTCTTTGCAATGCACCTCTGCTCCTTCAATGCTCAGCCCAGCATAGGTGCTGCAAGGAGGGGGTGCTGCCGACTCCCTTGACTTGATGTTGTTTCCATCACATACAGGGTTTGCAGTTTGGTTCAGTCTCGCTATGAAAATTGTTCTAGCATCGCTGCAGCTCAGACTGAGCTGAGCTGTTTCCTTTTATACAATGCCCAGCAGGGATGAGGATACATGGCCTCCTCAGTCCACAGAGTTACCCTGCTGGTCTGATGTGGGATATACAGCACATGGTAGGCTATGCCCAGGAGCGCCAGAAACTTGCTAGATGTGGGGAGGGCTGCTGGCACTTGGACTGTGGCCCCATCTCTGCCCTTCCTCTTGATTCTACTTCACCCTAAGGCCCCAATCCCACTTTGCTGCTGTGTATGAGGCTCCACACACCACTTCTTCCAAATCCCTACCCACCATTCATGCCTCTCTGCCACCTCCTGCTGTCACTTGCCTTTTAAGTGGGAAAAAAGCAATAGGGTCATGGCTTGTTCTGGCGCCAAAAATCTGAGATGCTCTGACATCTTCACAGCAGCAGTCGTTTCACAGGAGCAATTCAGGTTTATACCAGCAAGGGCATTGGAAGAGGGGGGAGTGCTCATGGCCCCATCATTTTGGAAAAATTTTTCATGCCTTAAGGGTGAGCCGGTGCAGGGAAGGGGAGAGAGGTCAGAGGAGAGGAGCAAGTGGTGGCTGGATCCTCAGGGAGAAAAGGTGGAGTGGGGGCAGGGCCATGGTCTGATTGCTGGTGGAGCGCTCCTGAGACATAGGGAGCTTCTGGGGCTCCTGCCCCCAGGGCACAAAGGCAGTGGTGGCAGGCCAAAGGAAGATGACGCACATTCAGCATTTGCCCCCTGTGTGACTGGCCCTTTTAATTTGGGGAGACTGTCACAAGCCTCTTGTACACAACAACCAACACCCTGTCACAGTAAGACAAAGAAAATCGGTAAAAAGGCAGGAAATCTCTGGAGCTTCCATTTCGCATGCTGAACACACATTCATAGATACTGCTGCTTGCTGCAGAACTATGGAGTATGCTAACTTTACTTTTCTTCATCTTATAACTGGTTTAAGCAAAGTCTTTCAACAACTAAACTGCATGATCAGTGTTTGTGTTTTTCCTCTACGTGACTTTTCCAACATTGCTTTTATTTTATAAATAATTCTTCCTGATTATCTATTCATTTTCCATTTGCTCCTAAGCAGCAGCAAGAACAAATCTTTAATGTTAAAATTAACACCACTAAGCAAGGGATATGTCATGCATACAGCAACAGAGTGATATAGCATCACTGTGTTCTGACAGAGTGTGCTCAAAGCCCACCCCAGATAATTAGTAACAAAACCTTTGAAATTTTCATGCTGAAGAGAAGCAGAACTGAACTGATGGCGACGCCTATCATCTGGCTTCAAGCCGTTGTTATACCAATGCACTGAAGTAATCTCAACCAAAATGTTTCATTTTGATGGAATAGGAACATTAGTGCCTGGTACATATATCTAAGAATTATCGCTCACGAAATAGTCTCCATATAGGAATGATTTGCAACACAAATTATAGAAAAAATATTAAAACTGCTGAGTTCTTTAGTCTCTGACATATTCACATTTTTGTTAACATTCTCGTAGGGTAAGACTACTCTACAGGGAAGATCGAAGCTGCCGCTGTCAATCTTCCAGGGTTCAAATTAGAATATCTAGTGAAGAAAGCTAATTCGAACCAAGAGGGGCACTCCGGTCGCAGGGAGTAAAGGAAGTCAAAACGAGAGTATACTCCCTTCAACTTCCTACAGTATGGACAGTGCCAAAAGTCCAGTTAAGTTACTTAGACTTCAGCTACGCAATTAATGTAGCTGAAGTTATATATCTTAATTCGACTTTGTCCTGTACTGTAGACATTCCTTGTACGAGGAATGAGTAAGCAAGAGCCATCTGTTTAAAACGCACGTAATATACACAATAAATAAATTAGTTAATGAGAAATTCTTCACACATACTTTTTTATAACTAGCTTTCTTTGGGAAACTTTTTTCCCCTGTAAAAATTCACTGTGCATGTATTTGCTTGCTTGTTGGTTTGAACTAGAAGTGTTTCCTCATAGCTGTATTTTATTTAGCTACTTGGTACTCTGAGAAAACTAAGGTGGATATCAAAAGATGTCACCGGGCACCTGGACATAGTAAAGGATTTGAAATAACACAAAAGTCTACAGCAGAAAATGGGCGATGATTGTATCTGCCATCTTCAGAGGGCTTGAGACAAAAATCGAAGGCAAGTGGACTCTGGTAAGTTTACTATCTTATTTAGGTTGAGGAAGACACATTTTCTTTCTGTACATTAGTCATCACCACTACTGCCTTCAATTTCCTAGTGAAGTTTCTTAAAATGTGTACCACATGTGATATGCCTGTAGAATCAATATGCAGGTATTACCAACATTCCAGGATGAAAAGTGATTACTTGTACAGGAACCTATTTTCACATGGGGGTTTTGTTTGTTGATTCAGATTTATTATTAGAAATAATAATTTGGTCAATCTGGATTCCTGGAACAATTTCAGTTGTCTTCTTTAACTGGAAAAAGTAGCTATTGCACCTCAACTGAAGCAAGTGGGCCTGTGGGCATAATTTCACAACTGAATCTGCATGTAGTTGTAGTTTTACATCTTATAGGAAGGATTCTACAGGTTGGTTGTAAATATCCTATTTTAAATGTATTGTTATTTAAATAAGATTATCTGAGAGAGTTATTAACTAAAATTTCCATTTTGTGATGGATAAGCCCTGTAAACTCTGCAAATAAAGGCAGCTCTCACCAAAAATCCCAAGAGAATCATGGAAAATCTTGCTCAGTTTCAGGTTCAGTCCTACTGGTGCTAACAAACCTGATTTATGATTACAAATCCTGGTGTACGTCGGCCAAACAAAGTATTGTTTTGACATCCTGGATGCAGAAAAGCAGAGATTAAAATCCAGCTGGCACAAAATCAGCTATTCAACATCCAGTAATGTGTGAGCAAGAAGAAATGCTCTTAAGAGAATGAGACAAAAGTGCATTGCTTCATGAGCTTTTTTGGTCATAATTAAACCATCACCAATGAATCCATGTAACTGTGTATTGCAGCTTTAACTGAGACCTGATGTGTTCAATTGTTCTGGGTTTTGCTATCACATTAATAATGTAAAGTAATGTTTTCCATCTCTCCATTCAAATGTTTTCCATGTGGTAAAAATGTTCAGGTCTAACTCTGAACTCATATCTTGTAATATAAGGAGAATTTAATACGAGTAAGGCCAATACTATAGATTGCAAAGCCAAGGACAACCTGTCAGGTTTGCTGACATAGGATTTGTGAATTATTACAGAAATAAATATCCATTCCCACCTTGACAGATGGCCAGCTAGATCAACTGATATGCAAAATAGTTACATCTCCTCTGGTACTGGCTTCTGCATTGTTCTGATTGGGAGATTATGATTTATGTTGAGTATAGATTTCTGTACTTAAAATGATTACTAATAGAAGCCGACTGAATAGGTTCAGATTAATTTAGATTTGGCTGTGTAGGGATATACAATGTCATTCTGCATTGATAACACCTTTCAATCAAGGATTTCAAAGTACTTTACAAATATTAGTGAGTTTAGCTTCTTTCCCTTGTGAGCAAAGGAAGTATTGAAACTTCCATGCTACTGAATGGTAAACTTAAGACACACCTGCTAAGTAACATACCCAGGATCACACAACATGCCAGTGACAGAGCTGGAAGTAGAATTCAGATTTCCTGACTATCTTGTGCTTTCATTACAAAACAAGGAAGATATTTAGGTCCCACACTAACTGGAGTTTGACTGTATAACCTGCAACTGGTACTGGGAATACTTGCTGACTTTGATCTTCTTTTCTAGATGGGGTTTTGTGTCTCTCTCTTTCTTGGGTAGGTTCCTTTGCAGGACTCACTTGTATTGTTTTTCGGCCATCAAGGTGGTGCTGGCAGCTGATCACCCAGACAGGCTGGCTTCTGTGACTGATCTAAACACACACATGCATTCACTTTTTTAAATGAGATTACATAGACACACACCTAACTTCAAACAAACTTATGACAGTACAAAATTTGAAATGGGGTTTTAGTTACAACATATGCAAAAGTTATTTAAAAAGTTACAACAACAGATTCTTCAAGGGCAATTCTTAACAGGTTACTAATAAATTAATCCAAATCCCATTTATAAAAATTGGGCCGCAATTCATGAGTTACATAATGTCACATGGGTAGATATAATTCTTTAAAAGGGTGATTTCATTCTTCAGCCCTACAGTCTCCCCCACAGTCCTTTCACTGCTCTACATCAAATTTCTTGTCAAGTTCAGTCCGTAATCTTCAAGGTTCCACTGACCTGTTCTCCTGGCTACCTGTTCTCTTCTCTCCACTCTCTGATTTAGTTACTGGCCATGCTAATTCCACTTCTCTTTATTTCCTTCTCTTACAACTACTTTCCTGTCCTCCTACAATAGCCTTCTTGTTTGCTGTACACTATGGGTGCTTTTCAAATCGTATTCAAATCTGAGATTCACAGCTCTTTTCATTCTCACTCTTAGCCTCCAGTGTTAGCTATGGGAAATGGCTTGATAATCTTCCCCTTACCTTCATTCTCCACAGAAGTCTTCAGAGGAGAAAGATTCCATGGACTCTCAGCAAGATGAGTTCAAAGAGGAAGAGGGAGAGGTAGAGCTTGTTGAAATGTTTCCATTAAAACATTTTCATGATGGAAAACTGGGGCTTTGATTGAACAACAATTTTCACTGAAGTGTCTGCTTTTCTCAAAGTGTCTGCTTCACTTTCTCATTGGAAAAATAAAAAACCTAACACTTGGGGTCTTAAAAAATTGGGTTTTGTCATTTCAGTTTAAACCTGAAATTTTCTCAGGGGCAAAAAATATTTCTGCCCAGTTTTAGTGAAAGAGTTTATGATTCTTCCATCCCGGCAGGAAAAAAGAACATTGTTGGACCTACTGCTGTCCATTTTGAGTTTGCCAGACAATTGCAAACAACTTTAGGAAAAGTCCAGAATGGATAACTTACCTGGGAATGGTTAAGTTCACAGCATACAAAAGAAGTTGTTAAAAGCATTAAAAAAAAATCTTTCAACACAAGCCTTATTCTATTTGTTAGAATACAGAACTCTAAAACACAAGAACCAAAAGTGAGAAGAGGGTAGGAGGGAGAAATCAGGCTGCTCTCTAAGGCTTCATCTTCACTGCCAGTTTTGCTGTCAGCGAGTATGCAAATGAGGTACAGTTTAGCATATCACCATGCCTCATTTTCATAATGTATGCACACTGTTTTTATGCAAAGGGTTTTTGCGGAAAAACAAGTAGAGTGGACAGGGGGTTTTTTGCGCAAAACCCCTGTTTTGCGCAAGAACCTGATGCCTCTCCCAGCCTCACGGCAAAACTGGCAGTGTAGACGTAGCCTAAGAGTATGTCTACACAGCAGCATTATTTCAGAATTCCATCAGTTATTCCAAAATAACAAAGAGTGTGTCTACAAGCCTTTATTTTGAAATAATGTCAAGCTGGAGAACTTCTTACTCCAACTCGGGGTAATCCTCATTTTATGAGGAGTAAGGGCAATCAAAAGAAGTGTTTTTCCTTCGACTTCCTGCAGTGTAGACAGCACCTAAAGCCAAATTAAGCTATTTCAACTTCAGCTATACAATTGATGTAGCTGAAGTTGCAAAGGTTATTCTGACTTTAGCTCTTCTGTGCAGACGTACTGCAAGGCAGAGAGACCCAATTCTTCCCATCTTACTGTAGACAGGTTCTTTGCAGCCTGAAAACTGATGTCTGAGATTGCATTCATCACTATAGAGCCCCCTAATCATCATCTGCAAGTGTAACTACCAACCAAGTGCATTTGAACCTAGGACTTCTGGAGCTGAATATAGGAGCCTCTACCCTCTGAGCTAAAAGCCAGCTAGCTTCTAGTCCATGCTGTAAAGGTCTCTTGATCTTAGCTGTTGCTGTGGTCTAGGTGCCACTGCATGGGACAGTCAACCACACTAGGGCTACGTCTACACTGGCAGCTTCTTGTCTACGTCTACACCTTTCAAGTAGGAATAGGAAATCCTCCGGAAAAGGCTTTATTTTCCGGAGAAAAACGTCTAGACTGGCGCTTTTCTCCGGCTTTTCCCCAAGCCGGAAAAAAGCGGCAGCCATGTAAATGCAAAACCCCTG